AATACTATGTTTATGCAAAAAAGTTCAAGGGGAAAACAGACTACAAACCACTTTTGAGACTCCTAATGAAACCATTAGATACTCTTACTCCAAGACTACAAGCCTTAGCACTGTGACTTCTACGATACAATCCAAAGTTAGAATATGTACCTGGCAAACACCTATATGTAACCGACACAATATCTAGAATCCCACGATCACAGAACATTGCTATAGAGTATTTGGAGAATGAGGCAACAAAGGTAGATTCCATAATGATAAGCAGGAATTTGCCAGAAAAACTGCGCGGGATGAATCATTATCCTTGGTGGCACATTACGCCAAAATAGGCTGGCCAGAGAGAAAAACATCATGTCCTGGAATAGCCAAACAATATTACTACTACTGCTATATAAAGGCAATACATTCATTGTACCAACCGCAGTTAGAAACGATATCATAAATATTACACATAAAGCTCATCAAGGCATGAATGCATGTGTATTTAAGGCAAGACGTGCTTATTATTGGCCAGGCATGTATAGCGATGTACTCAAAGCTGTTGAACCCTGTCACATCTGCATACAGAACAGCCAATCGAATGAAAAACAACCAATTACACCACATTCAATTGAAGAATTACCATGGTCCAAAGTAGGTATGAATTTTATGCACGTCAACAACAAATACTACCTAGTTACTGTCTGTGCATTATCATTTAAAATTTGTATCTGTTAATGAAATGTCATCGAAGACGGCATCAGCAGTTATAAAGACATTGAAACAGTTATTTATGCACCACGGAATACCACAGGTGATTATGAGTGATAATAGTCCACCATTTAATGCAAAAGAACTCCTACAATTTACTAACTAGTTACAGATAAAAATGACAACATCAAGTCCAACTTATGCTCAATCTAATGGGGCAACAGAGCGTACAATTGGTACCGTAAAATCAATAATGATGAAAGCAAGCAAAGCTGGCACTGAATACGAATGGGCTATATTATTACATAATAACACACCCAAATATAACCTAGGATCGCCCTCAGAGCTACTAATGGAAAGACACCAAAAAACCCTTCTACCAATACCGAGAGATCTACTAAAACCAAAATTTGACACAAAACATACCGTGGAAAACCTGAAACATGTTCAAAAACGCCAGGGGAAATATCAAAATCAGAATAAACAACTAACTGAACTAAATCCAGGACAAAAAGTCTTTATACAGAAAGGTATACGACATTGGACTTCAGGAATAGTGAACCAGAAAACCGACGAACCGCAGTCATATAAAATCCAACTCGCGGATGGGGGCGAAATCAGGAGGAACAGAATACACATTCGCCCTGCACCTGAAAAGGAAACAAATAATACATCACCATTAGAAACCAGAACTGAACCGACACCAACAAAGAAAAGAGAAAAGCATATACCTTCACATTTGAAAGATTATATTTTGGAATAAAAAAAAGGAAACATCTACCATAGGCATTAGATAGTAGTTTAAAAGATACTTGCAATATTATAATAAAACCGTTTACTGAACTGATTAATTTAATTTTATCCACTGGTATATTTCCTAGTACTTAAATACTCTAAAGTATTACCAATTTTCAAAAAAGGTGATGTCTCGAAAATTGATAACTATCGTCCCATAAGTATTGTTTCAATATTTGGTAAAGTTATTGAAAAAATTATTAAAAAACAATTCAGCAACTCCCAATATGGTTTTAGACGCTCTCACGTTACTACACAGGCTGTTCTCAATGTTGTGAATGACGTAGTTGATATTTTTCTGGAAAAGCTAAGCTTTTATGGAGTTAGGGGAATTCCGCTTGCACTAATAAATTCATATATCAGTAACAGACAACAAGTTGTGATGAGTAATGGTGTTCTGTCTGACTTTCAGGCTGTAAGGCAAGGGGTTCCACAAGGTTCTATCCTGGGCCCCCTTTTATTCATTTTTTATGTTAATAATCTAAGCCGTTTTATGCTACCTAATAAATCAGTTTTATTTGCTGATGATACAACACTCATCTTAACAGACAAAAATAATAAAAATTTAATTTCTTCATTTGATGAAATTGCGGACAAAGCAAACACATGGTTCTCAACCAACAAATTAAAATTTAACAGTGAAAAAACTCAAAATATGCAGATATCTGCCAATAATCAAATTATCTCAAAATGTGAAACAAAAAACGTAAAATTACTTGGTATTACATTGGATAACTCAATTGGTCGGCCCACATTAATCAGTTAAAGAGAAAACTTTCTAGTTCTTTGTTTATTCTTCGGCAGTTGAAAAAACTTACCAACTTAAATACCCTCAAAACTACGTATTTCTCTCTCTTTCACTCGCATGTCAGCTATGGTGTACCACTTTGGAGAAACTCTTCTCAATCTATTCAAATCTTCCGGATGCAAAAAAAAGCTATCAGAATTATGGCTAACATTGGATTCAGAGAACATTGTCAACAACATTTTATTAAATTTAAAATTATGCCACTACCTACTTTATATCTACATCATACACTTGTTGAAATTCATAGGAAACAGTCTGTTTTGCTGAAACAGTCCGATATTCATAATTACAAGACACGTAATTCACATAGTATTAGAAATACTCTCTTTAAGTTATGTCTATCTGAAATAAATTCCCTAAATTATAACTTATTTAACATATTACTGTAGAACTTTAAAAATTTAAGTAATAATGCTTAAAAAAAAAACATTAAAAAAATATCTATTGAGACATTGTTTTTACTATGTCAATGATTATGTAGCTCATTTTCGGTCTGTATGAGACATCTCACTGTCACTCTGCCTCATCACAATTTTTTGATAAGTACCTAATAATTATTGTTTTTATTTACATTGTTCAAATTCTGGTACTCTAATAATTATTGTTTTATTTGTTTTATTTATATCGTTCAAATTCTGTTACCACCTATGACTTGCTATAAACATAATGACTTATGTAAAACAGTTAATAAAATTATTCTATTCTATTCTAACAACAAACAACTACTTCCACGGCTATATGCTCAAGAGGACGTTGGATTATAGTGTTCTAAAACGTATTCGCGACCGACTTTATCGATACAATAAACCCTTTGATTTTGGCATTTCAAGACCGGTTTTGCCCTATTTGGAGCTCATCAGGTGAGAAGAAGTCAGCTCGAGTAAAATCTCTAATCTACTTTGAAGATAATTTGACCATTCGAATCATACATGAAAATCGTTACAAGGTACAACCCAATATAATTTACTTATAGTGAATTTTATTTGTTGCACTAGGTGTAAGTTTTCTGCACTAATCGCATTTGATTTGTTCAGTGTTTGACATTAGCACACGTATAGCATATATTTTTGACAAGTATGACAGTTCGAATACAGTGTCGAGTGTGACACTAGTGCAACAAATAAAATCCACTATTATATACAGTTTAGACATTAAACTGTCTAATCACACTGTATATTGTTTGAATGTTGGCATTTCCACTTGTGATATTCTATCACTCGATCGAATGTTGAGATCAAAAGAACGCCATTCTAAAAAGCGGGGCCACCGAATTTGACTTGTGTGGCAAGAATTAAAAGGCCGATATGTATGTAGGTATATTTAGCAGCGGATTTCCTATGTAGATACCTACACGCGTATCAACGTAACAAACGAAAAATTAAAGAAGACTTTTACGACGTGCAAACGATAAAAGCGTTAAGCGTTGTATTTTCACAGATGTTTAGGCGTACCGGAGTCGGCTTTGTTTATTAGGATTCGCGCGATTTCCCCGCACTGTATGGTTTCGATGAAAAATTGGAAAAACACTTTGTTTTTTGCTTTGGTTGCTTTCGAACGGGAAGTTTTTGTTTGCCGATGTTGCTGCGATGATATGTTTATCAAAAATTCGCAGAATTGCCGCTCTACTCTGTTTTCGAGTTGTTATTCTAAAATCGAAATGCTAATTAAGATACAGGATGTACAAAAATGTCACATAAGGATTTAAAACAAAAAGAAAAGCTTATTGAAACCCTAGACAACAACTTCTGATTTTTATATGATGAAAGGCGAAAAATTACTGCCAATTTTACAAAAAAACAACCTATTTTTAGTCCCCTAAATAGTGACATAGCAAATAGACTTATACAACCTACAAAAATAATGCAGTTTGACACTGCCTAGAATTTTTATTTTATGGTAGAAATTAACTCATCGGGGAGGAACTGTACATATTTTCTGGGAATTTCCAAATCTCAAATATACTTCTTAATAGCAGTGAAGGTTACATTTAGGGTAGACGCCTTTTAATTACTCAAATACTTAGAAACGGACAGGTATTTAGGTATCTGTCGGTATAACCAGTCAGTAATTTTAAATTTTATATTCTAGACAGTGGAATAGATTGTGTTTTTAGTGTATGGTGAGTTTCTATTACGTTCTTGCCCAGAGTGAGCCTAGTTAAAAAAATGGTAACTAAGATATATGATGGTAAAAGTAAGATTAATATTTTTATTTATTATTCAAAAAAATAACACTGAAATTTTCCAAAAATGGTAATTTTAGTTAATTCGTAGACATAGATTTAGAAAAGAACTAGTCACAAAACTGATCCTTGTGGAACGCAGTGTTTAACTTAAGAGTTTGTTTTTAATCAATCTGATTACTTTATATTTTGTTTTCTGTGTGTTAAATTGTAATTTTGAATTTCGTAAAAAGAAAAAGTTACAGTAATTATTGTAGACTTGAAAAATCTAATGCTTATACTGAGTATTCTTCAAATTAAATATAATTTTATGAGTTAAAATGGGCATTCTATCTACGTACTATTTGTACTATCTACATACTATTTACATACTATCTACATACTATCTACGTATTATTTGTACTATCTAACGTGTTAAAAGCGAATACGTCGATACTAGTAAACGTATCTATATTTAAATGTACCGTCAAATTTTGTTGTTTTTTTATTTGGATTATTTTTAAATTTGATTTTTCTTTGTTTCAGAGTGCACCAGAGGTACAGTTAAAGGGGGTCGCGCGTCGCCGACCGTTCGGCCCCCAGCACAAGTCAGGGCCCCCGTCAAACAGCCGCCAGTCGCCGAAGCACTTGCCGTTCTCGTACAACACCTCGTATTTGATGTAAGTCTGCATATTAAATAACACTATAATTTTTCTACGATCGGAATTAGTAAGTCGCAAGATTTTAATATTTTATTCAAATTTAATTTATTATTTAATAATGTTATTGGGGGGTGGTCTGAAGTTTTGGCAGTATTTATTTTGACATTTAAACATGCATAATGGAAATTAAACCCATAATTTAATAGTGACAATATCCAGCGTCATTAGTAAGGAACCGTTTTCTCTGTGGCGAGAAAACCCCTTACAAACGGTAGTTTAGTAGGTATAAAACTTGCAACTTAAGGGTGGAGCCTAAATACTACAAAATTACTTTCGACACTAAACAAAATCAGCATTCATTCATAATTTTAACAATTGGATGTAGATACGAGGGATACATATTCTAAACTTTAACGCGCGAAGTTGAGACAAAGGAATCGAAAAATATTCCACAACAGCACAAAATAATATTAACAATTTATATGCTCCCCTATACCACAGATTTCCTTGATACAAAAAGCCAAAATTATAAATACATGAGGCCAATATAAACGGACCATAAACAGTCTTGTGACATTTTATTGACTAGGTTTTTAAAAAATATTTTCTATACCAGATTTTTTTTATATTCAAGCGAATTTATAATATTCAAACTTGGGGTAACCATGTGTGAGTTATTTAAATAAAAGGGTATTTTTGGTTTTATAATATGTAACGATCTTAAGATATAATGTTTCAGCATATTGTTTATATTTTAACAAAAAATATTTTTGTTTTATGATAGGTAATAATAAGTTTTTATCTCACAATGTCGGGTATAAAAAGTTATATAGAAAAAGTTAGTATTCAATACTTCGAGCATATATATTTCACAGAGTCCGCATTCAATAGGGTTTGTTTACGTTCTGAGGGGAAATGTCTAGACACTATTACCAGTGTCGCATCATTTTTACGGGGTTTGCAATTAATATAAATAATAAATTTGATACATACCTTCAAAATTCTTTAAATTATGCACATATTTTATAAACTTGCATTATTTAAGTAAGTATCTAGTAATAGTAAATTATTATTAATATTATTATTTTATTGGACACATCAGATTTTATTTAATTCAAACATCAGAAAGTGTTTAACGGAAAAATAAAGGTTGACATAATAGGCAAGAGAATTACAATACAAGAATTTTTTTCAATAATTTATTAAATATAAAAATATTGTTTATAAATAATGTTCAATAGATTACTAAACGATATACTACAAATAGAAATCAAGCTAATACTTAGTTATATTAACAAATAAGTGAAGCTTAATTTTTATTGGAAAACTCTCTTAAGCTTCGATTATTTCTTAATGACTAGGAGTGCAAATAAAAGAAACTTAAAATGACTTTTTTAAAGAAAAACTCACATTAGGTACATTTATTAAAAAATAATTATTGTCAATTTTTGTGGTTTATAAAAAATATAGGTAGTAATAGGTAATAGTATTCTGCATTTTCTTTTTCTGCAACAGAGGCTTCATAGTTCAGATCATCATTGAAAAAATAAAAATTTCGAACCATTGACCCACAAGAAAAGTGCAGGGTTCTTTACCTTTTAGATTCATCTTCTTCTGGGGCCTCAGTAAATCTTAAAGGCCATGCTTCTGGAATTAATCTAGTTCTTTCTCTGCATTCAGTCTTTCACATAAACATATAACCAGAAAAATTATTGGAACATAAAACATCACTATTTGAAATGTTTCAGTGTTTCAATATATTTCACCAAATACGGTTTTCGGCAGGATTAGTTGGAAACCTACAAAAAACAAAAATTATTGATTTAAAATTTTCAACATTATCATGATAAAATGACTTAAAAACGAAAAGCTTGTTTATATTGAAAAATTATGATTAGTTTTTTAACTTTTCAGTAGAGTCCAAATTCTAAAACAATATTCCTCATGCATAATACAAGTTCTTTAAATTTAATTCACTAAATTTACCATTTATTTTAAATTCATGTTTAACGGCCTTTTGCATAAAATGTATGTACTTATGTTTCTTTTAAAAAAATGACAGAGACGCTAATAGTTACTTACTTATGAAATGACTTTTTCATATTTCTATTTAAAACTTGCACAAACTCTCACCAGATTGTTTAAATTTTATATCTAAAATAATAAAATACAAAAAATCACTTGTAAACTATAAAAATAAGATAGAAATTAATGAAAATCAAAAATTAAATGACAATTCTGACAATTTCGAACGATTTGGCATGCCAAGCAAAACGAAACAGACCAATGAGAATACTGGATACTGTTTTTCCCCGAAAAATATATTTATTTAATCATTTATACATAAAATAAAGAGAAAGGACCTTAGAACGATTCCTTGTGGAACACCAATATCTATTCCGAATTCAGATGAGATAACACACGAATTTTTACCTATATACCAATAGTTATGACTCACCCTGTATACTTACAAATTTGATTCCCGATTATTAGTTTGGAAGTGATGCAGGACTTTTTATTTAAAATATATTTTACTAAAATTAATAATAAATAAGTTTCCCACTTCTAGAAAACTTTTTCATACATAATGTATACAGGGTGTCCCGAAATTAGACGGTCATATTTTAACAACGTAATCTACATGTCAGAATAGTAGTAAAAGTTCTTATAAACATAGGTCCGAAAATGTTTCGTTAAAAGTTAAATGTTGATGACACATTTTTGTAAATATTTTCTAAACGTTTAAAGATAACTAAGTGAAATTTGGTACATATGCTAAACTTTTTACCATGGGCGGCTCCAGTCGGGGCTATGGGGGCCATGCCCACCCCCCGAGATGAAAATTCTTACGATTTATGAGCCTTTTATTCAAAAAAATATGCTAAAATGGGAATATCTAAAGGCAATACTTATTTTTAATGAATACCGCAACCCCATCATTTTTATTTAATTGACCGTAGTTGTATATTAGCTGGAACCCCTCATTACTTAAGCAATGAATATCGTCTTGTGTGAAGGTCTCCGTTAAGATAATCATATCCAGTTCCCTACGAATATTTTGGTGAATAATATTAAATGTAATTGTATCTCTATTTATGTTTGGTATGTCGTTAATTCTGTCTAGTTCTAAGATATCACAATTAACATCTCGAATGAATTGATTAATTTTTTAAATAACATTTTCAAATGCTTTTCTCTAGAAAATTGTGCGTTCTAAAATGTGCCATCAGACTGTATCTCGAAGACAAAACGTTTTCGGACCTATGTTTATATGAACTTTTACTCCTATTTTAGAATGTTAAAATATGACCGTTTAATTTCGTGACACCCTGTATTTTGTTTTAACAAGAAACCTTTAAATATATTTTAAACCCGTCTTAAATGAACATATTTTAAGCTTTTAAAACTTATTGTATACACCAGCAATCAAAATAACATCACCCACGATCATTTCCACGTACTTAGTAATTGTTTTAAAACTATCCCCAATTTAAATCTAAATCTCATAAATTTGCATATTAGGGTCCTCAATTAGTTCGGAAAATTTCGAATTACTCAAATAAGCGGTTCTTAACGGTGCTAATCTATTTCCATTTACCTACCGCCTTTTAAATTACGCTTTTCTCGGAAGGAAGGAACTTATCTAGGATTGATTGTTCTATTAAAAGCCTATTCATCAAAAATCAAGAAGCTTAATTACCATCTATACCAATCTTTGGTCTATTTTAAAACAGCAGCACGGGTGTCTTTGTGACAGTTGTGATCCAGCAGTGGCTGAGTAGATAGATAGTATTTAAAATTAGACCGTTCATCAATTTTGTGACAATCGTAATAATAGTGTGGTGTTTGTGTGGTCCTTAATTGTTTATTTTCCAAAATAATGAAGGTTACCGGTGAAAATATACAGCATGGCGCTTTTAAGAGATCGGTAAGATTGTTTTTAATGTTTATATTTTTATACAGTTTATATTAACTACATTTGTATTTTCCTTTTTTTTTACTATATAAAAAGTCATTATTTGAGACAGTATTGACCTCACAAATATGAATCAAATTTGAGAACTCTTAGCTCTTTTTTCGCCCCTCAAGATAGAGAGTGTGTGCTCTTTTTTGTTTTCCATAGATACATGACGAAATATGATTACAGCAGAATGGGATAAGATATAGAAACATTGTTAATAATAACATAGTCAATTTTGTAAGGTCTGATAGGGATTTGATTTTTTATCAAAGAAAGATACTGACAGAGAAGTACTAATAGGCATTAAAGAAATTAAATTGTTGTAGTTGTTTTGAGGCATCAGTTTTGCAAATAAAAATAAACAGTTTTTTAAAGAAAACATTGTGAATATTAACAAAATATGGAATCTGAAATTGAGGAGTTGATTATACATTTCCAATTAGCAACGACGTCTATAATTTTTTAATTTTCTTTAATAGATTTTATAAATTTTCAAGAGCAAACATTAAAGAATGCAATAAATTGTTCTGTTAGGGCGAATAATTTTCCAATTATTAATGAAGATTTCTATCATCTTACACTTCAAATTTCCATAAGAATATAGGCAGTTAAACAAAAAATCTGTGTCCAACACATGACTTTCCTATCTAGTTATTATAGGCTTTTCCCGGTTATTTTGTACAACCTATTGTAGCACCTCTATAAATGTTTAAGAGGACAAACTAAATATATACATTTTCGACATACATCTACCTCGAAACATTTTTCTATAGATATTCATTGAAAACGAATTTTTCCATTATGGTCCATTTTAGAAAAATCATGTATAAAACAAAACTTATAGATTGTGATATTGCAAACAACTTTTAGTTTAACAATTTTCTCAAAAATTAGAATTTTGTACATATTGTCAAATTTCTCGAATACGGACTATTTCAGAAAAATTTGACATCAAGCAAACATTATAGATAATAATATTAGAGGTAATTTTTATTTAAACAATTTTCTTCTCTCCAAACATAAATAACAGATATATTCCATAAAATATAAAAACGGTCTCCTCAGATGTTCCAAAATCTAATCATTTCACGTCAAGCCGAAATAAAACTTAAGTTTAAAATTTAATGTTTTTTCTTTTATCCGTTTTTGAATTTTACACATTTTCTTAAATATCTCGAATTCGTATCATTTTAGAGAAATTATGTATAAGATAAAAATTATAAATAATTATATAACAAACAACTTTTAAGTTGTATAATTTTTATAATTTTTTTTTACATTTTGTCTAATTTCTCGAATACGAACCATTTTAGGAAAATTTTGTATAGAACAAAAAATATTGATAATAATATTGTAAGTAACTTTTATTTGAAGAATTTTCTTCTCCAAACGTAAATAACATATATTCCATAAAATATAAAAATAACCACCAATAAAGTACCCCCCAGATGTTCCGACTCTGCCCAAAATCTAATCGGAATAAAGCTTAAGTTTAAAATTTGGTGTTTTTCTTTGTATCAGTTCATGAGTTAAGGTGGACACAGACACACACACAGACATCATCCTGAAAATAGTTAAAACGGATTCAGAAAATAGTCAAAACGTAAAAATCCGTCGAAAACTGGAGGTCGAAAAAAATCATGATTCCCATACTTTCCTTATCTGTATACAGATAGGAAAGTAAAAAGGCTTTCCAACGAATTTACATACAATTATAAAAAAAAACTTTCTTTTAGGGATGCCGACTGATCTGTCATTTTAAAAGAGCCTAATGCCCACAATATGTGGGCAATCTCTCGGATTCAGATAGAACACATACTGGCTTGTTAATATATTTTCTTTAAGAATTGGATATTTTTGAATAATTATTTTTAAATGCTTTTAAAAAGGTATATTTGTTGCATGTCGTTAAAATGCTAATACTTAATTTAACCTATTGTAGCAACTCTGTAAATATTTAGAGGTTAACCTAATATGTATATACATTTTCCACATACGTCTAACTCGAAACATTTTTCTATATACACTCATTGCCAACGAAAATGTTGAAAAATTTAAACTTTATACTTTTTCTTTTAACATTACGGTCCATTTTAGAGAAATCATGTAAAAAAAACAAAAATTATAGAGATCGATATCGCAAACATCTTTTAGATTCACAATTTTCTTAAAAATCATAATTTTTTACATTTAAAAAATTTCTCGAATACGGACCATTTTAGGAAAATTTTTTATGGAACAAAAATTATAGAGAATAATATGAGAAGTAACTTTTATTTGAAGAATTTACTTCTCCAAACGTAAATAATATATTTCATAAAATATAAAAATGACCCCCTATAAAGTACTCCCCAGATGTTCCGACTCTGCCCAAAATCTAATCAGTTTACCGCAGGTGTTTTTCTTTTTATCCGTTCATTAGTTATCGTAGATACAGACACACGCACAGAAATTATCGCGAAAATGGACAAAACGGATTCAGTGGACCCCAAAACGTAAAAATTCATCAAAAACTCGAGGTTGAAAAAAATCATGATTCCTATACTTTCCTTATCTGTATACAGATGGGAAATAAAAATCGCAAATTGTAACAATCATATTGTTAATTTGTTTTCTTTATTGTCATGAACACTTTAACCAAATTTCGGTTTATACATTCAAAAATAATTATGTTGATGTCACTAATTACCGTATTGATATTAAGGAGATAATTGATAATATTATGTCAAACCTCATAAACTTTCATATGGGACTGATGGAATTCCACTGTTCCTTCTAAAAAAATGTGCTTTCACACTAGCGAAACCTTCATTTATTCAATTTATCACTATCTTCGGATGTATTCCCTGTGTTCTAAAAGGAAAGCCTTCTTAACCCAATTTACAAGAGTGACAGAAAAGTTGATTACAGACCTATTTGCATTCAGTCGGAAATTCCAAAGGTACTTGAATGTATTGTATTGTGAATAATATACAGTAGGGAAGGCCCCCCTCAAAATGGCGGCTCAAAAAATGTTTTTTTGCTCGTGACAGAATTTTATGCCTTAAAAAAGAAAAAAATTCTGAAATATTTAGCTCAAAATATTAATTTTTAACAGTTGCTCATAAGATGTACCACAAGGGACACATTTAGGTCCTTTATTATTTAATCTATTAATAAACGATGTAGCTGATGTTATGTTGAGAATGGGGTTTTAATACACTGCGACCTAAAAGATCAATTGTGTCCCCTTCTGTCGCCAATGCACTAAGGAAATGTCTCAATGCCTATAACGACCCTTCCATTCCTATTTTCTCAAGGAAGTGTAAAATTTGAAGTGGCTTCAAGTTAGATAAATCTCCCTCTTCTATTTGATATCCTCCTAGATATAGTGCCCTTGGATTCTGGAGTGCTACACATTCAGTTAGGATGTGAATGGAGGTTTCGTCCTCCTCCTCACAGAATCTGCACTCACTGTCCTCTACTACTCTCAGTTTACTTAGGTGTCCTTTTAGTCGGCAATGCCCGGTAAGGATCCCTGTTACAATACGTAGCCTGTTTTTGCTCAGGCAGATTCAGACTTCCGATCTTTTCTGGTTATATTCCCCCAGAAGTATCTTGGCCTGTCCCAGCCCCAAGAGATTGTTTCAATTATCGGTTCTTCTACTGCCCAATTCTTTTTTAAACTCTCCTAAAGTTACTGCTGATACCGCAAAACGGCTCAGGTCCTAAAAAAAGGTGTTTGAGTCCCTTTCCTTGCAGGACCATCTGCAATCTCGTTACCCTGTACCGCGTTATGTCCCGGGACCCAAGTGAGAGTAACTCTATTTTTCTCGCCTAACTCATTCATCTCCAGACCATTTTTGAGCTGATTACGTAAGAGCTCACCGCTTTGATGGCTGCTTGACTATCGGACATGATAATAATCTCTTGTCTATGATAATTTATCTCGATGTTAAACTGGATACACTTTTCGATGGCGTGAATTTTCGCCTGGAAGATGCTTGGGTATTTTCCCAATCTTTCGGAGTGCTTGGTTCTCGGCCTATACACTCCTATTCCAGTTCCTTCTATGATTTTGGAACCGTCCGTATACCACTGAATAGCACGTCTTTCGGTTGCAAGCGCGATGGATTCTTGGCTCCATTCTTTCTTGCAGCTGAGGTTATAGTTTACTCACAAAATTCTATTTTTGCAGACGATTTTAAATTCTATATAGCTATTAAAACAATGGAGGATGCCAGACTACGCCAATTTGATATATACAGGGTGGCTCACGCTCAACGGGACGGAGCTTTATGGGAAAACGACCAAAGATATAAAAAATTCGTTTGGGAGGAATACGTAGGTTACAGACGGCTATAATTTAAAATTTGTTAGATGTATACAGGATGTCCCACATAAGAAAAAAAAATTAGTTCATTAAAAATTATTCAAACAAGAGTAAACAATTAATTTCTGGGAGACTTTTTTTCCTTAAAAATTCAAATAAATCGAAAACTAATAATAATAGTAATAGGGAACTTTTAGTTAACTGACATTATTTTTGATGTAGTTTTTAATTCAAAAATAAAAAACAGGGTGTTCCATTAAAAATAATCAACATTGTATATTTTCTCTTATGTGGGACATCCTGTATACATCTAACAAATTTTAAATTATAGCCGTCTGTAACCTACGTATTCCTCCCAAACGAATTTTTTATATCTTTGGTCGTTTTCCCATAAAGCTCCGTCCCGTTGAGCGTGAGCCACCCTGTATATAATCTTGTTAGATGGTGTAAAACAAGTCTAAACCCAATGAAATGTCATCAAAACACTTTCCAAATAAACAACATTCATGTTCAGTTCAATTATACATTAGACACTCTACAGATTATGCTCAGAATAAAATTATTTCTAAAATACTTAGGGTTGCTAACAATCACAAAGATAATTTGAAAAAATTCAACTTATCTTTACCGTCTTTTAAGCGCCTTATTAGAAACATACATTTTTAACTATTTTGTCTCTTGCATCTTTTATATTATTTTGTTTCTTTTTACCATTATTATATACTTAATGTTTACAATGTTTGTTTGATATTAATTATTTTTTCCTTTTCTCAGCACTCCTCCCTAACAAAAAAAGAATCATTGAAATCGGACACCGTGTTAAAGAATAATCGCTGAACATACATAAAAAAAAATATCGCGACGAATTGATAACCTCCTCCTTTTTTGAAGTCGGTTAATAAATAAAAAATAAATAAATAAATACCGAATAAATTCTTGATTAAATGGCCAGAATAAATATTTTATTATGAAAGGCAATTTAAAAATTTCCCATTACCAATATCCCTACTAAAAAATAGAGGTTTCAATATTAATTTCATTTTATATATTTTTTGTTCATTTTGTGTATTGTTGAGCTTCAAGGAGGGCCTATTGAATACGCCCTTGGGCTCAACATTTATCGAAATATTAATTTTCTGTCTATACAACTTTTCCCTGTATAAACGCAATTAATTTATTAATTTATTTTGTTTTTAGGTTCAAGCTTATCAAGTCCCAACGCTGAAACGACAAGCTGAAAAGTTCCGATTGGAAGCTGAAAAATTCAAATCAGTTTGTAAGCAATTAGAAGAAGCTTTGGTTCAGGAGAAGAACCAGCACTCCAGAAATTTAGAGGACGAAAGATTAAGATGTCTACAACTAGTCGAGAAGCATATGAATGAAATATCAGAACGTAAGGATGTCACTATTTTTAATTTAAATTTTATTTATTTAATAACAAAACTAGCTGTTAAATTTAAAAACTGATTATCAAAATATATATTTAAATAGTTACCAATAATTGAATTAGAGAATACGTAAGGCTGCAATGGGCCTAATAATAAATGTTTATAATGGCAGCCATTTAGCAAAATACCTAAATTTTAATATTACTTTGAGGTGAGATACAACTTGACTCTTCCACATTATCTAAAATCTTTTACAAATAAAAAAAATGTATAAAAAATGGATTGTTATGAATCCCAAGGAATCATTCTCAAAAAATGTTTTCCTGGATCTAATTTATCATTTTGAATGATGACAAACTCAAAAAATAAAATGGAATGTTACAAGTTCAATATCTATACCATAAAATTCAAATTGCGATATTAGAAAGTTGACTAATTCTGGGAATTTTTAAAATCATTGTCACGTCATTTCACAAAAAACGATAAAATTCTCAATTTTTCATCAATTTTTTTTTATGGAAATTATCAGCTAAAAACACATATTTGACATTATCGAAACTGAATAAAATTGCTTCGTCAAAGATGTTGCTGTTTGTCATCTTCAGTTGTGAACGGTTTGCTTTGTATATTTCTTGTTCGGTTTAGATTTTTTTCTACCCATTGTATGAACCAATGATGCGACTACCCGCTTAAATTTAAGACATGTTTTTTTATTTGTGAATAAAAAAGATATTGGTTTTCTATTGGAATTTTAAGATGCTACGGTTTCTTTTCAAGTTGGGTTATAATCCATCAGGTAATTTTGTTTTTTGAATAATATATTTTGCATTTTTGTGTTCTTTTTATAGAATTGATTTCAAATAAGTATGACAAAGAATCTACAGTACTTAGAGAATTTGATACATATGGATACCCTTTTATTCGTATCTTTTATTACGATATATCTATCACCTTCAGTGATTCCACACATTTGTCAATCACTGTATATTCCAAATAAATATTGTCCTCTTATACTTAGTTTGGAAGAGTCATTTTTCAAAAATTTTACGAAAGTATCATCCTCGAAAGAAGTAAACCATAAACGTAATTATTTTTGAAATATATAGGGCGTTCATTTTAAAACCTCTAGTAAATACTATTTTAAATCGGAATCAAATTTATTTATGAATTAAACTACTAACAAAATTAGCTTTCAATTGAAGTGTTACATTTTACAATCCGTAACAGTTTTTATCCTGCTGGATAGCGCTGAAATCAAAAGTAACGCAATGGATAATCATATTTTGTTTTTTTAAATAGTCATTTAAATTGTTATGATTTTTCAGTAAACCAACATTATGCAGGCATAGAACAACGTTTCATAGCCGACAAAGATAACACTCGTCAAAACCTATCCAGGCAGCACGAAGACCAACTGAATGCGCTCAAAAAAGATTTCGAGGAATCCTTGGACATCCTCCGAGAAGAAAACGAAGCCATTCGTGAACAAATTGACGAGAAAAATGCTGAAATCGAAAGAGCAAGGTAAGATTTCTCTATAAACGATTTATTTTTTAATGGAGGAAAAGAAACACAAAGTTTTTACCGCAGAGTTTTTATCACAGAGTTTTTACCGTGTAGAGTTTTTACCGTGTAGAGTTTTTACCGTGTAGAGTTTTTACCGTAGAGTTTTTACCGTAGAGTTTTTACCGTAGAGTTTTTACCGTAGAGTTTTTACCGCAGAGTTTTTACCGCAAAGTTTTTACCCCAGAGTTTTTATCGCAGAGTTTTTACCGCAGAGTTTTTACCGCAGAGTTTTTACCGCAGAGTTTTGACCGCAGAGTTTTGACCGTAGAGTTTTGACCGCAGAGTTTTGACCGCAGAGTTTTGACCGCAGAGTTTTGACCGCAGAGTTTTGACCGCAGAGTTTTGACCGCAAAGTTTTGACCGCAAAGTTTTGATCGCAGAGTTTTTACCGCAGAGTTTTTACCGCAGAGTTTTGACCGCAGAGTTTTGACCGTAGAGTTTCGACCGTAGAGTTTTGACCGCAGAGTTTTGACCGCAGAGTTTTGACCGCAGAGTTTTGACCGCAGAGTTTTGATCGCAGAGTTTTGACCGCAGTGTTTTGACCGCAGTGTTTTGACCGCAGTGTTTTGACCGCAGAGTTTTGACCGCAGAGTTTTGACCGCAGAGTTTTGACCGCAGTGTTTTGACCGCAGTGTTTTGACCGCAGTGTTTTGACCGCAGTGTTTTGACCGCAGTGTTTTGACCGCAGTGTTTTGACCGCAGTGTTTTGACCGCAGTGTTTTGACCGCAGTGTTTTGACCGCAGTGTTTTGACCGCAGTGTTTTGACCGCAGAGTTTTGACCGCAGAGTTTTGACCGCGTGTTGTTACCGCGTGTTGTTACCGCGTGTTGTTACCGCGTGTTGTTACCGCGTGTTGTTACCGCGTGTTGTTACCGCGTGTTGTTACCGCGTGTTGTTACAACGTGTTGTTACCGCGTGTTGTTACCGCGTGTTTTTACCGCAAAGTATTTACCGGAAAAATATTTACCACGTGATTCGGAATCTAAAAATTTGGAAAAGAGATTTTCAACATTTTTTAGGCAGTTTAGAGGCGTTGCCATTAGAGATAGACTCGTACATACAGAGTGTTCCATTAAGTTGGATTTATATGCGATTTTTGTAATATTATGATTGGACATTCAAATCTAAAAAAACCCATATTTTAATATGGATTCAAAGACACTTCATTAGTTACCCATTTTTTTGAAAAATCACACAATTTTTTTTAAATGCAGGCTTGTTAATAGCCTACTTTTATACAGGCTTTAAATAAGTAGAGGTGGTTGCCCTACAACGTTTTTTTCAATTGTTATTAAAAAAAATCTCATGGATCCAACTTTAAGCACACGCTGTATACACATTTTCGGAATTTACGCGACTAGTTCTTTAAAATGGCATGAAAATCTGACATTCAACGTTGGGGCACAATAACATCACGGGCAGAATGGAATTTTGGCTCCAATTTGAAATAATTTGTGTTTCTGTTAGAAATATGTGGTTTGAGACTTTTAATTTCCTCCTCTACAAAATGGTGTATATATAAATATTTGTTACCACTTTGTGTTTCATTTCTTTTTTTCGTAATATACCATATTTAGGTCATGGATAATTTACTTTAATTGTGATTCATTTCTTACTTACTTAGGTCCGTATTTATAAACAAAACTTAGCTGAGTCGTCCTTGAATGAGTCGTCGAAGTTCGGTTATATCGTGTGAATTTAGAGATAAGTAATAACAAATCCGTAAATGTACAGATTTGCTACTTACTGTCATCTCTCCATCTTGCAGTGTAACACCGGAGCCACCTGGAATTTCTAACTGAACTTCGATTTTCTTTTAAGGACGACTCAGCTGAGTCGAACTTGGCTGAGTTCTGTCTATAAATACGGACCTTACTCAAAAATGAATCAATCATTTTAGGTATGAAAGCAAAAAACTAAAAGAAGACTACGAAACAAAAGAAACTATCCTCAAAGAGCACAACCATAAACTAAAACAACAGCTCAGCAAATTAGAAGAGAATTTCGAAGACAGACTCAAAGGATTAGTGGACGAGAACAAAAGATTTAGGGAGGAGAACGATAGGTTGCTTAGCTATGGCGACGAAAAAGGCATCAGCATGCAGGTACAATACATTTCGTGTATTATATTTTATATCCCACTGACTGCGCCAATTACGTCCGAAATAATATAATTTTTAATTTTTAGGAGGTACAATCCCTTAGGGCGGTGTTGGAATTGAAACAAAATGAAGTTTCTGAGTTACGCAGATCTCTGGCCGAAGCCATACAAAGAGCCGACGTTTTAGTCGGCGCCGAGGAAAAAGCCAGAGTTTTGAACGCGAGATGCGAAGATCTTCAGCTACAGCTCGAAAGAAAGTCTGATATGGAAAAGTAAGTGCCGGAAACATTTTTTAAGACTGCTTCGAATAGTAAACGTATTTTTTTTTAGATCCCTGCAACAGGAAAATATGAAGCTGCACGAAAGCTTCAAGGAGGAGACCAACCAAAAGAGGAGGCTATCGCAATACAACGAAGAATTGCAATGGAAGCTCAAACAGAACAAAGAGGTGATTAACAAAGTGTTAGAGCAGGCCGAAGAGACTGTATTCAACAGAAAAATGATGAGCGCCAGCTTCAACGAGAGGCACAATGCCACCAGAATCACTCTCGAGCGAGCCATGTCCTTTAGGGAACGAAGCTATTCGAATAGGTCAGTTATTTATATCTTTCTCATTTACCTGTTTATGAATAATTTTCTATTCTACAGATCCAGCAACAATGGTGACGACAAATCGAGAAAATCGTTCAGCTCGACCTTTGACAACGGTGACGATATTTCCCCGCCGACTTCGCCGAAAGTGAAAGGCATCGTCGAGAAATCGGACTCTGTCAGCTACGTGCTGGAAATGAACGAAAGTCCCGACGAAGTGGCCAGCAGGATAGTGCGAAGGAGCTTCAGGAATTCGACGCCCGCCAAAACAACGCCCACGAAGTCTCCGTCTAATAAGAGGCCGCGCATCAGGAACCCTTTGAGCCAGAGTTCGTCGACTAGTGCTATATTGAACGCTCCAAAGTAAGTATCAACTATTAACATATTTATAGACTCGTTTAATCTTTTATGCATAACTCATTTATAACTCTTTGTTGCTTTTTAACTTTATCCACTAGATTTTCGTACTTTGCAATTGAAGCTATTAGTGCATGAAAGTGGCAAGTCACTTGCTTGAACTAAAATCAATATTCAATTGACCTTATACTCAAGCAATAAAAGTATTTTTTAAGTTATGGGAGGTTCTAGATAATTGTTTTATTAAAAAAGTGAGTTAGCTCCTTCATGCACTAATAGCTTCAATTCAACATTCTTATTAATTACACACCTGTTGTTTAAAAAAGTATTTGGATTTTTGAACCGTTACATGATGATTGATTCCTTCTCCAACTAAATTCCTCCGAACAGTATTCTCAAAACGTTCCCCAGTATAATCATTACGTTTCCTTATTACAGTAGGATGCGGAACGTACTCTTAATGACAACTGACAATTAAAATATGTTCAGACAACTGTCACGGCTTACATACTGTGCCGTGGCAAGCAAATCAAAAAAATAAATTTTGCTATTGGTTATTAGAAAGCATTTTTTAGATTTGTTTTTTTTTTTATTTAAAATTAATTTTGCAGGAAACTACAGAATAGAAAAGTGGGCAAGTCTATTAGGGCGTGAATTACTTCAGATGGCGCGCGATGATTCGAAAGAAAACATTTTTACTTTTTTAAATTAATGAAAAAAAAAAAGGAAAGACTATGTTACCTATAAATTTATATAACGCCCTCTATGAGGGCCATAAACGTATTAAAATATATTTTTGCATTTAAATATCTTGTTTTATCAAATTCCTATATGCCTTTTCCTTTAATTTTGTCCTGAATGTAATTCGTGGATAATTTTTACCCGTTATTACCATTTCAATAATTTAATTTGTTGCTTTTCTTGCCAATCACCATCAATTTAGTCAAGAAGACCTTTTTTGATAATTAAAACAAAATTAAAGCTAAATGGTTGGGTGTATATATAAAATTATATTTTATAAAAGACTGAATCCATAGTTCTGCGTCCTAAATTATCCAAATGATTTGATAAAAACTATATCCACAATCAGGTTTAATCATACTTTAGCTCCATCTCATTTATGGAAAATCAATATTGTACTTTCCAACAGTGACGTCTTGTGTCCAAAATATTGGGGGTTGACAAAGACAGGATATAGATCTCGGTATAGATTTATGTTATAATATGTTTATAATATACCTTTTTAAAACAATGAACATTTTTTACCTGAATCTGTACTGCAGGCGGCAGAGTAGACCATAAAATATTTGAATAATTTATGAGTTAATTTAAATTTTTAAAAAGACCGATACATCTGTTCTAATTATTATTGACAAATGTTACTGATATTTACAAATTAATATTAATTAAATTAAATGTAAGTACATGTGGAACAAAAAAAGGTTGAAATTGAGAAGTAAAAGCAAATTAAAAAAATATCCAAAAAAATATCCGAAAAAGACCCAAAAAGTCAATGAAAACGCAAAAAAGTCAAAAAAAGATAAAGACGACAAAGTCATAAAAGACCAAAAACAACAAAAGAGCATAAAACCAACAACAAAAAAAAACAAAAAAATAAAAACAACAAAAAATAACAACAACAACAAACAACAACAAAAAACAACAACACAAAACAACAAAACAACAAAAAAACAACAACAAAAAAAAAACAAAAAGCAACAAAAAATAACAAAAAAAAAACAACAAAAAACTACAACAAAAAAAAACAACTAAAAAAACAACTAAAAAACAACAAAAAAACAACAAAAAATAACAAAAAATAACAAAAAATAACAAAAAATAACAAAAAATAACAAAAAATAACAAAAAACAACAAAGAACAAAACACACGACAAAAAACAAAAACGACAAAAATAAAGCAGCAGCAGCAACAAAAAAGAAACAACCAAAAAGAAAAAACAAAAAAGAAACAACCAAAAAGAAAAAACAAAAAAGAAACAACAAAAAATAAACAACAAAAAATAAACAACAAAAAATAAACAACAAAAAATAAACAACAAAAAAGAAACAACAAAAAGCAACAATAAAGCAACAACAAAGCAGCAACAATAACAAAGCAGCAACAATAACAAAGCACAACAACAAATCAACAAAAAACACCAAAAAAGCAATAAAAAAACAACAACAAAAACAAAACAACAAGAAAGCAATAACAAAAAACAACAAAGCAACAAGAAAGCAATAACAAAAAAACAACAAAAATGGCAACAACAAGAATAAAAAAAAAAGACAAAAACAAAGTCAAAAACAGCAAAAAAACAAACACAAAAATAGTAACAAAAAGGCAAAAAAAAAAAACAAAGAAAAAAAAACAAAAAAGTAAAAAAAGACAAGCATAAACAAAGTCAAAAAGGACCAAAAGCAGCAAAAAAAATGCAAAAAAATAACAAAAATAAAAATTACTACAAAAAATTACAAAAAATTACAAAAAATTACAAAAAATTACAAAAAATTACAAAAAATTACAAAAAATTACAAAACATTACAAAAAATTACAAAAAAAGTACAAAAAAAAATATAAAAAAAAATTACAAAAATGCAAAAAATAACAAAAATAAAAAATAAAAAAATAACAAAAAAATACAAAAATTACAAAAAAGTACAAAAAAAATTATAAAAAAAAATTACAAAAAAAAAATACAAGAAACAAAAAAGCAACAACAAAAAACCAACAAAATGCAATACATGACAAAATAACCCATTTTCTTGAAAATTTAACAAGCAATTATAAGAACACAAGTTGAGAATGAATTAATGTTTTTCTATTTGTCAATAAAAAAAAAATGAAGTTAATCATTTGCAACTAACAATACAAGAATGTAGTAATATTGGTTGCCTAGATGTCAGTAATGTTTTTTACCAAAACACAATTAGGCATTCCAACGACCTCTCAAACAATATGTGCTAGTGGAAAATTCTTGTATATCTAAGGGGGTAGCGACATAGTCTTGCAACTTGGACGCTATTTTTATTCGAAGTAGTAGTGGCCAAACCTGCCAATTTATGAAGAAATGTAATGGTGAGTTTTTGAAATATTATTTTTATTGTGTTTGACATAAAATATTTAAATGTAATCAATCCATTATTCATGATTTTACGTAAAGTAGATAGAATACACCGTATGTCGCCACCCTTAGATATACTAAACCTTCCCACTGGCAATTCATTTGTTTGGAATGCCTTGTTTTGTGTAACGCTAAAACGTCACTTCTTTGTTGATTGGTTTACTTATATTTAGATCATTTGACATTAAAAACTCAAATCCACGTGGATTTTATGGTCTATATTTTTCTAAAGTAACCTTGCCTTTGAGAAATGCATCGGAAATCGAATTGCAGAGTTGTACTATAGAAGAACTAATATTTGATTATTTTTTTTCTGTCAAAACCTTTTAACTACTGCGCATGCGATTTAGTTACTATTAATTCAGAATCAGTTCAAGATAATAGTTATAAAATACTTATAATATTGATTGCACACAGATTAACATCTGCCGCTCCCCAAATAGAAAATCATTTTAGATATTTCTTATTAACAATTAAAAATTCTTGTTTGGTTTAGGACTGACTTGGAGAGGCCCCGTTCGGCCAACTCGAGGAACGGCGATTCGGACAACGACAGCGTCTTCCACTGGACAAACGTCAAGTACGACGAGCGCCAGGATGAAAGCTACGAATCGTCCGGTTCCAGCATGAAACTGGAGGACCACGACCACCTGGACCTCGACGAGGACAATTTAGACGATCTTCGGCTACCTGCGCTGCCCAGCGAATTGGACAGGCGGAACGGAGCCGCGCAGGCGCTGCCCAGTCCCAAGCACCTGGCCGGAGAAGCCATGATTTCGGAAAGCAACTCGGAGGACGAGAGCACGAGTTCGTCGCAGTTGTGAGACGAACTATCCTTTTAATTTTCGCATTTTTGTCCGTGTCTGATGTTGGTTTGTTTCAATGAAAATGGGCGTATTGTATATTTACTAAGTGCGAACTTTGCGTGATTCGTCGCAAGATGATTTTTTTAGCTTCGGACTTCTAAATATGGCGAAAAGTACGGATACGTTATAACAGCAAGTCTGCTATTTTGATATGAGGATATAAGGGGGTTATTTATACCCAAAAAAGTATTGGCAGACCTAAAAGTACTTATAACATCCAGTTAGAGGAATAACATTTATTTGGAATAAAAATCGGTAACTTTTTGGAATCTTTTTAATAGTAAATAAATTATTAGCATTACTGTTATTACATAAATCAGTTGGTACAAAATCAAAATAAGGTCAATTGTTTTTGGCAATTTATTTTTTAGTAAATTGACTTTTAATTTATATTTTAGCGCTTAAGCACCTCTAGGCTTGTAAATATGGCGAAAAATACAGAAACGTTATAACAATAAGTCTGTCATTTTGATATGAAGCTATAAAAAGGTTATTAATTCTAAAAAAGATATTGGCAGACCTAAAAATGCTTACATCATCGAGGATTAACATTAGTTTTGGAATAAGAATCAGCAACTTTTTGGGAAATTTGTTACAAAATGAGTAAATAAACAAATTGTATAAGATTCAGCTTTCCTGCTATAACAAATTAGTTAGTACAAACTCAAAAACAGTTAACTTGTCTGCCAATTTATTTTGTAGCGAATTGACCTATAATTTATGGTATTTCAGCACGTCAGGCTTGTAAAAATGGCAAAAATACAGAAACGTTATAACAGCAAGTCTGCCATTTTAATATGAAGATATAAAAGGGTTATTAATAATAAAAAATATATTAGCAGACCTAAAAATACCTGCATCATTGAGTTAGAGGAATAGCATTTATTTGGAAATAAGAATCAGTACCTATCTGTAATTTTTGTGACACAGTGAATAAATAAACAAGTTTTAAACATTTGTTATAAGATTCAACTTTGTTGATATAACATAAATCTGTTGGTACAACTCAAAAACAAGTTAACTTGTCTGACAATTTATTTTTTAGCGAATTGACCAACAATTTATGGTATTTCAGCACGCCAGGCTTGTAAAAATGGCAAAAAAATACAGAAACGTTATAAGAGCAAGTCTGTCATTTTAATGTGAAGATATAAAAGGGTTATTAATACTAAAAAAGTTATTGGCAGACTTTAAAAATAGCTACATCATTGAATTAGAGCATTTGTTTTGGAATAAGAATCAGTACATATCTATAATATTTGTGACACAACGAATAAATAAACAAGTTTTAAACATTTGTTATAAGGTTCAACTTGTCTGACAATTAATTTTTTAGCAAATTGACCTACAATTTATGGTATTTCAGCACGTCAGGCTTGTAAAAATGGCAAAAATACAGAAACGTTATAACAGCAAGTCTGCCATTTTAATATGAATATATAAAAGGGTTATTAATAATAAAAAATATATTAGCAGACCTAAAAATACCTACATCATTGAGTTAGAGGAATAGCATTTATTTGGAAATAAGAATCAGTACCTATCTGTAATTTTTGTGACACAGTGAATAAATAAACAAGTTTTAAACATTTGTTATAAGATTCAACTTTGTTGATATAACATAAATCAACTCAAAAACCAAGTTAACTTGTCTGGCAATTTATTTTTTAGCGAATTGACTTACAATTTATGGTATTTCAGCACGCCAGGCTTGTAAAAATGGCAAAAAATTCAGAAACGTTATAACAGCAAGTCTGCCATTTTAATATGAAGATATAAAAGGGTTATTAATACTAAAAAATATATTGGGACAGCTAAAAATACCTACGTCATTGAGTAAGAGGAAAAAATTTGTTTAAAATAAGAATAAATACCATGCTGGACTATTTTTAAAACTAAACCAATTTGCCTGGCAATTTATTTTTTACTATTAATTGTTATTCTTTATATATCATCAAAATAACAGACTTGTTGATGTGATAATTTGACCTCCTTGCTTTTTTGACTGATTGGAGATTTAGAAGCCTCGCGGTGTTAAAAATCATCTTGTTCACAATTACTTTACTTTAGCTATTTTTATTGGAATATTTTTTATATTTTGATAATTATTATGTAAATTTAGTACTTTTTATAAATGATTTTTATTTGAAAACCGATATTTTTTTAACTTGTTTCTTCTGTTGTTATCACTGTTTGTTTATTATTAATTATTATTAAGATTGATAGGAGGTGGGATACGTTTTAATGGACTTTTTGTGATGGCTGGGATTGTTGGTGGGACATAATTTACAGATCAAAAACTTCTTATTGAGTTTGGAATGTGTTAATGTACACATCAACATTACCTTCATTTTCTACGTTGAATTTTCTTCATAGCTTCTGATTTGTATCCGGTACCAAAGAAACGTCGGTCTGAAGTTAGTGAAGGGTTGAAAACTTAGCTAAATATCGGTAAAATAGATAACATACTTTACGACAACTCTGAAGTTGCTGCATTGTTAAACTAAACTGTGGACATGTTGTTTTTTAATGGGAAGACCCTTTTTACGAGTTTTTCATGGTGTAAGAACCGTAGAGTCGATATCAAGCTGTCATACGTCATATATCAATTGATCACAAAGCACAAGTTACGCATCAAACTAAATTTGATGGTTAATTTTACAAATATTGCGAAGTGTAATCTGTAAATTAGCCCTGCTGCCACTTCGGTGCAAAATGAAAGAGTCTTACAATACTTTTAATACTAAAAAGCTTAAACTGATGGTATTAAATTAGTGACTTTTTAGAAAAGGAACATAAACTAGTTGACTCATTTTTTTCATAAATTTTTGGCATATTGTCATTAATAATTGTTTCGGAAAAGAAAACTTAGATGTTGAAACATTCAAAACTGTTTTTTTCATACGCTATATCTCGAATTAGAAAAGTAATTTAGCTGAAAATTGCTTAGAGATCGTGTGATCCGGCCTTTAAGCAGGAAACTTGGCTGGGTAGAAATATTAACAGACTGATCAACTTAAATGATGTCTTTAAGGAATCAGATTGGTGTAGTAAGTCAAATGTTTATTCTACTGAGAATCCTGAAATATTTAAACGATAATATGCGGCTAGTAGGACCAAATGTGATATTATTTGATCAAAATAGGGACTGTGCAGTAGTTAAGCGTTGATAAAATGGAATAATGGTTGTTTGACTTGCCCTACTTCTGATTCTAATTGGCTCATATAAAAAAGATCAATAGTAATGTTTCAATTAGTTGACATTCACCTTTATGTCTTCGTCTACAGGGTGATTGGTCCTTTTTTGTCTTTTTTTTTTTTAATCAACCGGAGGTTATAGTACGTCAGTGATCCTTATCTTTGTTATTTTTTTAAATGGATCATTTACTGTCATACTTTCTCTGTTGGAAAATAAAGGGCAAATTTCAACACCCTGTACAATTATTAAACGGAGAAAACGAGGAAAAAATTCCAAAATTTCGAGTAGAGTAATTATAATTCATATTTTGTTGTGAGAACGTTCTTATTTTTTACTTATAAAAATGTAAATATAGTGCTAATGTTTGAGGTGCGTCTGTTTTTTCTTGATTACGAAGCCATTTATTTTTTCTATCTTTAATTTTTATAGGTTGTGATTTGTTTATAGGACACAGGGTGTTTTGAAAGTAACAATAAGCTTTTTTTATTTGCGTTTATATACAGGGAGGTCGGGAAACAGGTCGTTTTTAATGAAACGATTACATTTTTTTTTTAGATTTTCTTCAAAATAATTTATTGGTTTTTTAGACCAGTTTACTTTTGGATAAATTTAGAAAATAGTTAAATCTGGCAAATTTCCTTTGTTTTCCAATTTTCTTCAAATTATTCTTGTACTATATACATTTTTAAAGAAATGTTTTACTAAACTGCTTATATTTCTTTGTATGGTTCATAAATGTTGATATTAAATAAGTTGTGAAGAGATTTTTTTTACAAATAAAATTATAGTCCGGGAAAACTATATAGAAAATTATATTGATATTTCTCATATTTGCTTCGAAAGTGCCATAACTGAAAATTCACAACTTTTGAGTTAATATGAATGAGATTATTAAAAACAAATCTACATTATATCTCGATGACACAAACGCCATCTAGATGAGTCTTTTCTAAATCAAGTTAAAATACTATTTATAATTGTAAGATCTGAATTTTTTCCTTAATAATTTTTTTCAAACGTTCTTTTACTAATATTAGTCCAAGAGATATTGATCTAAAATTGGAAACCGGGCGATCTAATATTTTAGGGGAGGTTATTAGCAAATTTTAAGATCTGTAGTTCAAAGAAATGTATTCCTAACATCATTCTTTTGAGAACCGCATATATATGATGAATAAATGTTCCTGTGCTGAAGAAATATCAAAAGATACATTTTCAATGCAATATTTGGAAAGCTATAGTTTTTTAGCAAATAAAATTTTAGCATCCAGCTGTATTTGAAGTATAGTCCGGGAAAACTCAATAAAAAAAGGAAATCGTTAAATTCATATTGATATTCAAAATTTTCGACTTTTAATATTTTTTCGTTGGAACGTTCACAAATGTTGATATTATGATATGATGCAAAGAGCTTTTTTAAAAATAAAATTATAGTCCGGGAAAACTAAATAAAAAATAGGAAATCACCAAATTATATAGATTTATTCAAAACTTTTGATTTTTAAGATGGTTTCGTTTACCAAATTTATTGTAGTGTTCCTGTACTAATATTAGTCCAGGTGATAATAATTTAAAATTGGAAACTATTACATACCTGGCGATCTGTCATTTTAGGGGGTGAATATTGGCTAGTTCAAAGCAAGGCCCCAAAGGAATTTTTAAATAACAAGAGACATTTTTATCGAAAATACATACCAAATATGTTCTGCATTGATGAAATATCAAAAGATGATGTTTTTCAATGAAATATTTAGAAAGCTGTAATTTTTATGGAAAAAAAAATTAGCTATATTATTAGTATTAGAATTATAGTCCGAAGAAACTCAATAAAAAAAGGAATCGCCAAATTGAAATTATTCAAAATTTTGGACTTTTAGTATTTTTTGTATAATGTTCTTGTACTAATATTAGTTCAGGTGATTTTAATCTAAAATTGGAAACTATTATATACTGGGCGATCTGATATTTCAGAGAATGCTTATATTTCTTTAAGGAAACCAAATGTTAGCATCTATCTGTATTATAATAATTATACTGCGAAGAAACTCAAAAAAGGAAATCGCCAAATTATATTGAAATTATTTAAAATTTTCGACTTTTAGTATTTTTTCATTTGACAATTTTTTTTAAATATTCCTATACTGATATCAGTCCAGGTGATATTAATCTATAATTGCAAACTATTATGTACTGGGCGATCTGATATTTCAGGAGGTGAAAATTAACAAATTTTACGATTGCTTAATAGTTCAAAGAAATGCCCTTAAGGAATTCTTAACCAACAGAGAACATTCTTCCCTTAAGATAATATATATAACGATCAAATGTACTAATAAAAGGAAATATAAGCTCTTTTTAAATAAAATTTAAATCAGGAAAAAGTCAATAGAATATAAGAAAATCACCAAATTTTATTGATTTATTTAAAATTTTTGATTTTTAGTATTTTTCGTTTACCACTTTTTTTTTAAATATTCTTGTACTAATATTAGTCCAGGTGATATTACTCTAAAATTGGAAACCTAATTTTAAGATTAATAGTTCAAAGAAATGCCTTTAAGGAATTCTTAACCAACAGAGGACTTTTTTCCCTTAAGATAAGATATATGACGATTTAATGGACTAATAAAAGGAAATCATCACATCATGCTGATATTTTCAATTTTTAAAATTTTTTACCATTTTTTTGAAATGTTCCTGTACTAATATTAGTCCAGGTAATATTAAGCTAAAATTGGAAACTATTATATATCGAACGATCTAATATTTCAGGGGTGACAAATTTTAAGGTAATAGGTCAAGAAAAGCCCTAAAGGGATTACTAACTCTTAAGATGACGAATAAATGTTCCTATGTTGAAGAAGTATCAAAAGATACATTTTTTAATGTTATATTTAGAAAGCCATAGTTTTTTAGCAAAAAAATTAGCATCTAGCTGCATTTGAATTATAGTCCAGTAAAACTAAAAAAAAAAGGAAATAAAATTATATTTAAAAAAAAAAATTGATTTTCAGTATTTTAAGACTATTGACTGAATTAAAATTGTTAAATCTAACGAATTTCTTTTGTTTTCCAATTAATCTTCGAATTATTCCTGTACTATTTGATTAATGCAATGTTTTTCTAAGTTGCTTATATTTCTCTGTAACGTTCACAAATATTGTTTAAGTTAGTGATTTTTTTAAATAAAATTATAGTCCGAGAAAATAAAAAAAGGAAATTGTTACATTATAATTGATATTATATATAAAAAAATAATTTTTAAAATTTTTAATATATTCCTGTACTAATATTAGTCCAGGTGATATTGATCTAAAATTTGAAACTATTATGTGGGCGATCTGATATTTCAGGGGTGATTATGGGCTAATTTTTAGATTAATAGTTCAAATAAAGGCGCTAAAGGGATTTTTAACTAACATATCAAATAAGTTTCCGTGTTGATGAAATATTAAATGATGATTTTTCAGTGCCACATTTAGGAAGCTATAATTTTTTGGGAAAAAAAATCTAGCTGTATTCGAATAGTCCAGGAAAATTCGATAAAAAAGAAATCGTTAAATTATATTGATATTCCAAATTTTTGACTTGGTATTTTTTCGTTAACCAATTTTTTTTAAATGTTCCTGTACTAATATTAGTCTAGGTGATATTGATCAAAAATTGGAAAAATAATAACCGATCTATCTCACGGATGATTAATGGCAAATTTTAAGATTAATGGGTCATAGGAATATTCTAAAAGATGATTTTTTTCAATACCATGTTTAAAAAGTAGTTTTTTTTTAGAAAACAAAATTTTTACACTTTACTGTATTTGAAATTTTTAAAGGAATTTCTTTTGTTTCCTATTTTCTTGAAATGATTCTTGTACTATATTATTGATGAAATGTTTTACTAAACTGCTTAAATTTCTTTGTAACTTTCACAAATGTTGATATTGTGTGACTATGTAAATAGCTTTTTTTTAATAAAATTATAGTCCGGGAAAAATCAATAAATAAAAGGAAATCAAATTATATTGATATTATTATTATTAGTAGTAGTATCCAGGTGATATTAATCTAAAATTTGAAACTATTATATATCGGACGATCTGATTGATACTTCAGGGGTGATTATTGGTAAAGTTTAAAATTTATATTTCAAAGATATGCTTTAAAGAGTTTTCTAACCAACAGGGGACATCTTTCTCTCAAGAAAATCTCAGATATATGGCGAAAAAATGTTTCCGTAAATTTTTCATTGCCATACTTAGAGAGCTATAGTTTTTATGAAACAATTATAGCATCTAGCTGTATTCGAATAATAGTCCAGGAAAATTCGATAAAAAAAGGAAATAACCAAATTATATTGATTTATTCAAAACTTTTAGTATCTTAGCGTTTGATCGATTTTTTTTAAATGTTTCTCTACTAATATTAGTCCAGGTGATTTTAATCACAAATTAGAAACTATTATATACCGGGCGATCTGATATTTAGGGGGTGATTGTTATTACCCATTATTCCAATATTATGTAAACGTCCTCCTTATGGTTCTAGGCTTAATATTGTTACTTTTTAAAACACCCTGTCCATTATATATTTCCCTAATTCCAGTATTAATATGGGTGAAATGAAAACGAAGATGTTTTTTTTAGTACAATGTATATCTATCTCTTTTTTTACCGCTAAACTGTCTATAATAATTAAATAAAAGTGTATATTAAGATGTTATATATTATTATTGTTTTTATTTGTATATCTTGTTAGTGTGGCATGATCGATAAAAAAATATTTATTTAAGAATTGGTGATGTATGTAATTTAAATTGTTAGGACCAAAATAGATTTCCACGATTTCATATTTATTGTATAAAGAGTTGCAGATGTTTCAATTATAATGAAGTTAAATATTGGTAAAATAAAATATTAAATTTATTTCTTTGTGTATCATTTCATGCTTTATATATTAAGGATTGGATCTAGAACTTTTCGGTTTATTTTGGAACTTCATCTATGGTAAAAAGATAGAAATAGAAACCAACAATCAAAAATGTTTATCTGCTACTAAAACTTACCAAAAATATAAAATAACTGAAAAGTGAGGTTAAATGAATAGGATAAAGTTAGTTAATTTTGATTTTGACAAGCTTTAACAAAACAAAAATCCCTAGAATGATCTACTTAACTGCTTCTTTGTATACGTAGTTTATTTACGGACGGTGGAAAATAACTAACAGTAAAGAGAGTTTAAAATGTATGGGAAGTTTAGATATAGATGGTAAATCGGTGTAAAATTACTTATAAATTTAAAATAGACTGATTTCGGAAAATATGCAATATTTCTATATGTAACTTAGACCGTCTTACTAATTATTTTTCTTAAACAGCACCTTCGATGTAAAATTATTTAAATGATTGTTTTTTTTTAAATAATAAATTTATCAATTTTTAAATACCATATATTCGGAAAACTTCTGTATTTTATACACAGGGATACCGCCGTCCTTAAATTATTTCCAGACAAGCACATTATAGGATTTAAAGACAAACAAATGATATTTGTTAACAAATTTATTCCTATAAATTAAATTTATTTTACATCTTTGCCATCAACATTTCTGTAAATCCATTTTGCAACGCCCCATCCTTGTTTACCGTTCACTTTAAAGGTACTCATCTTTAGGTACGTTTTAGTTTCCCAATTAGGTCCCGAATATACATAGGGGGCGTCCTTAGCAGCAACTATAACAGCATAGTCTTTATCGCCTAAAAATAAATTATTTCATAAATTAATTAATTTATTATTTTCGAACGAAATGAGTTTGAACAAAAATACTGTCAAAATAACAAATTTTGATCACTTTTAATTTAAATTGTGCGGTACTATATGCATCAAAATCAAATTATATTTTTTCCGGTTTTAATAAAATTCTTCTGTACTATTTACATAATATACAGTACAGGTAAATTATTGTAAAATCGTACAATATCCATTTGAAATCAAATTCTCATGTTCTTATTCGAATGAAGTAACTTTTACTTAAAATCTTGCATTATAAGCAAAATTATGCTACTTCCATGACTGGTCAGAATAAATCGTAAAATGCATAATTATTTTTTTTTTTTTATAAAATAGCATATATACAGTCTGATAAATTGTTTTATTCTTTTTACTTGTATTAATTATAAAAACAAATTCAATTTCCATCAGTTCAATAGTTCTCATATAAATTAGTTTTTTTTTGGCTTTTCTGTAACATTTTTGTTATGTCCGAACATTTAAAATGAAATGTTCGGGTATTATTATATACAAATTGTTCTTTTTCTATTTTATTGCAATGCTGTATAGTCCGGACAAAAAAAGAATACACGAAATAAACCTTTTCCACATAAAATCAAATTTTCCTGGACTATATACCAGTTAAATAGTTCAGGAAAATTAATTTAAATTTAGAAAATTTTATATTTCTTTTAAAAAAATATGAAATACTAACCTGCTCTAAAAGTAAATCCATAATCATCGGGAGACGCGTCTATTCCGCCATATTTGTATAGCTCAAAACTGCATTTTTGTACAGGATAAAATTCCTTATGTTTCGCATTATACACAAATCCTCCAGAAAGTCTAAATAAATATGTATGGGTGTATAATGTTTATTGAAGATTTTAATACTTACCGAGAAGCTATTAATGGGACGCATGCTTGTCCCACATTGAAAAAGTCACCATTTTCTGTACTAAATTGGTGAAAACCAGCTTTGTAATACAAACTATCGTCTGTATTATTTTCTATACTTCTTGATTTACTGGTATCGAGCACAAGTTTATAATTTTTAGCCCCAATTGTAACTTTTAACTGTAAGATTCCACATTGGTCATACACGTCTCTTTTCCCTCTACAATTTAAATCATTTTTGACCATCAAATATTTTAAGTTACTGTTACTATCCTAAGCTCTATTATGTACTATCAAATACTAGGGTTACCATAAATAATTGCACGGAGTAACAAACTAGTACGTAGGTATACAACCAGTCATACATGCAAGTGTATACAATGTTATCTAAAACTAACACAATTTGCACAACAATAATAATAATAATAATAATTAATAAGAGATAAATACTGGACAATTACAATTAGGTAGGTACTATAATTTTTTATTTCAATAAATATTTAAAAAAAATTCTTACGTTTTAAGATTATTGAAATAAGTTTTGTTCAATTTCTCATACGCAATACATTTGGCGGTGTTTAGATAATCTAAATTAGTTGCTTTATCAAAGGCAGGCAAATCTGAGGTCCAAACTCCCTCAATTTCAACTTCGTGGTCTATTTTTGTATTATCAACTTGTACCATCTTTCCTTTATAGATTATTCTCCATTTTTTCAATGGCTCCACACAAATCAACTCGATACCTTGAAATTTAAGAATCATTTACTGAGATTTATTGTAATTGCTAAACCCTGCAGAATATACGGCGACCACTTGCACTTCTAGATATGAAAACATGATTGTAATGTCGTTTATATACATTTTGAAGTTGGGATAATAAGAGTGGGACGAAAATTATTACCTTCAGTTGAATATTCGTAATCATTTTCGGCAGCTTTCTTTAATTCATTGTCTGGATAATTAGCTAAAGCAAGCACTCCTAATTGTGAGTCTTTAATTTTTAAAAAGAAGTATCCGTCTACAGATTGATGACGTTTACCGAAATTGACTATTAAATAATCACCATTTTTATTTGCTCCAGTAAATGTCACTACATCGGTAGCCTAAAAAATATTTTCTTAAATATATATCGACTAGAGATACTATGGAACAAACCTTTTCGAAACCAACGGGCATTTTTTGCGGTTTTTCGAATTTTTCGAATTTATTTAGTTCATATTCTTTAAAAAATTGTTTGATCTACAAACAAAATATCTGATGATAATCTAAATGTCATTTTACTAATATTTGATTACCTGGTGAAGATTAAATATTAAATATAGAAAAAGCACTTTGAACCAATATAAACCGCTTTTTCGTTGGTATATTCCAAAAATTGGTGGTGGATTTTTATCCGTACATTTAACTAAAACTATAAACAGTACTGATACACTCAAAAGAAATATTTCTATGGCACCAAACATTATAATATATTGTTAATAAATGAAATTAGAAGACTTTTAGGTTAACATCAAATCTGTAGGTACTCAAAATAGAATAACTATTTGATAACATTATCATTTGATAATTGATAAATAGCGAATTTATTTATGTAATGTATCTTGACGTTCTATACGAGGTGTTATAGTTATTTAAGGTGAGAGTTTAATTGCTTTTAATTTTATTTTCTAATAAATTTGAACTATACAAATTAAAGAGCTAAGATTTTGTAGACCTTTTTGAAATAAATCAGAGCAGTTGCTAACGCCAATATAAATAATGTGTTCTACCCTAGCTTTATTGGGCTTGACATTTACTGCCTTCGATCATGGTGGACTGTATGACTGTATTTGAAATAGATTACCTGGGGTGAAGGCCTTATGCTCCACCCTGTAGCCTCTGGAAGATACTCTTGAAGTTCTGGGTTTATTCAAATAAAACTATCACCCTATATTTGAATTTGATATATTCATGGCTTGCTGATTTCACATTTTACACATTTACTACTTGGTTACATAAATTTATTGATCGATTACATGTTAACTTTTGTAAATCAAATCGCACAAATGCTTTAAATTAACTTACGGCGACTGCCGGCCCTTTTAAAGAGTTTTACTTGTTGTTTGTTTGACTGACTGAGCGAAAGTGAGTATTTTGTTTTTCGATGCAAGCTTGTTAGTTCGCATCGGTTTTACCGGCTTTGTTCTAATTGGTTACCTAGCCTTATGATTTCGCGCGAGAGTCATGATTGGGTGAAAAAATCTTGCGTGACCTTGCTTTACCCTTTTGCGAAATCGCAGGTGTCTGAAGGTTATTTGAAAGTTAACCGGGTTGTTTCACAAGTTTAGATAATTAGTTTATACAGGGAGTGACTATTCAGTACTTTATTCTTTTTGTTTGCTAAATGCGGAGGTTTATACAGGGAGTGTCTATCTAGTATTTTATTCTTTTTTTGTATTTGAATGCTGATTTAGATTAGCGGATATGACATGTTGAATGTAATTTCAACATAATATAACTTTGATAATAATACAAATAAAAGTTTAAACAATTATAAAAAAATGTAATACGATTTTTTCAAGGGTCACTCTCAATACAGTAATGCAGGAATAAGAAAAAAGATGAACAAGAAATCGCTCGACTTTTTGAGGAATCTGAGGAAGATGGCGAAATTGCATTTCCAGCAGTTCAATCACTTAACTTAGGAAATGAGTGGATTTTTGACACTGGTGCCACAACACATGTCTGGAAATAAAAATGTTTTTACTTATCTACGTCCTTATTCAGGATATATCCGACTAGGAAACGACAAAAAGATTCAGGCTACTCATATAGGCAATGTCCGGTTAAATGCATTGTTGCCAAATAGATCTTCAGTAAAAGTAGTTCTTCATGATGTGCTGTTTTCTCCAGATTTAAAATGCTCGTTAATGTCGTGGGAAATAATTAAATCGAAAGGAATTATTACGAAAGGCAATGCGGAAGAGATAACGCTATGGAAAAAAGAAAAATTGGTTGGATGGGTCATTTCAAAAAATAAGGAAAACGTATTTCAAGAAATTACTTTAGAATCTGTAAATGTAACTTCTGCTGTTTGGCATCGACGTCTGGGACACTTTCCTATTAGTTTATTCAAAGACATTAAGAATGTTGTTATTGATCGAGAGGTTCTGCCAAAAGAACGAACAACTGCGAATGATTGTGTAGCATGTTCAAAATCTAAAATGACGAGAAAGATATCGAAAGAACAAGGTACTAGTTGTAAAAACATTCTGGAAAAAGTTCATTCTGATATAGTTGGACCTTTTTCCACTGAATCACTTGGTGGTAAACGGTATTACATTTCTTTTATAGATGAATACTCTCGCTATACAGAGATATATTTTTCCAGATTTATAGCTGAAGCAGAAAATAAAATAAAATAATACATAAAGAAAATGGAAAGACAAATGAAAAAGGAAATAAAATTTTTTTAATTTGATAAGAATTTGCAAACATTTTTTAATTCCGGTGATTTTGAAATAGAAAGATCAATCCCTGGAATTTACGAAACCAATGGACTAGCTGAGAGGTTAAATCGTACCATTGTTACAATGGCTAGAACAAGTCTAATCGATTCCGAGCTTTCAAATGGTTTTTGGGCTGAAGCATGTCAGTATATACAAAGAACAGATTACCCCATGCCTTTACCAAGAAAACACCGTATGAATTGTTTCATGAAAAAAAAAAAAAAAAAAAGAAATAGTTAATTTGAAAGCATTTGGACAAAAAACTTATATACACATTCCTGAGGAATCGAGAAAGGCATAAAATAAATTTCAGCCGAGAGCAATAGAAGGCGTTTAGTCGGCTATGGCAAAACATCTGGATGGTATCGCTTTTGGACAGAGAATAAAGTTATATTATCTAGAGATTTTAAATTTGCACCAGAAGAAGATTTTATTTTTATTCCACCTATAACAAAACAATTAAATAAAGACAATTGTATTGAAAATAAACAAAATTTTGATAATGAAAAAATAATAACAGACCCACAGGTAGAACAACCTGTGGAGGAAAAAGAAAATAAATATGAAGATGAAGAGTTCCTGCCTTCAACTTCTCAACTCAGACGCAGCAATAGAGTTGTAAAGCCTCCATCCCGCTATGGTGATGAAAGTTGCAAAACTGCTGTAGATTAACCTTCCAATTATAATAAAGCAATTTCTTCACCAGAGTCTAAAAAATGGATTAAGGCCATACATGAAGAATTGAAGTTCATGCAGGAGCATTAAGTTTGGAACATAGTCGACTTACCAGAAGGAAATAAAGTAGTTGGTTGTCGTTGGATCTTCAAAATAAAATTATCTGAAGAAGAGAAAATTTGTAAATATAAAGCTCGACTTGTAGCTCAAGGCTATACTCAAATACATGGAGTGGATTATAATGAAACATTTTCGCCAGTGATACGATATGAAACAATTAAAATATGACATTAAAACCGCCTTTTTATGTGGACCTATTGATTTTAAAGTTTATATGAAGATTCCAGAAGGTGTAAAATCAGAACCAGGGAGAGCATGTTTCCTGCAAAAGAGCATATACGGATTAAAACAAGTACCTAGGCAGTGGAACTCCGTTTTGGTCAGGACTCTAAAGGAAATTGATCCAGTCAAGCGCAGACTCATGTCTATTTATCTTTAAAGATAAAGAGCAACTAGTAGCTATTTATGTCGATGATATTCTAGTTCTTGGAACTACCATAGAGAAAGTACAAGTTATAGAAGATATTTTAGCGAAAAATTTTAGTTACATTTCTTGGTATACCCAAATATTTATTATCTTTACAAATAGAATGGGAAAAAGATTTTATACTTCTCTCTCAAGAACAATATATTTTAAAATTGCTTGAAACACATGATATGTTGAACTGCAATCCTATGTGTACACCTATGGATACTGGCTCTAAACCAGTAAAAGCAATCTCTACTGATAAAAGAACTGATAAACAACTCTATCAATCAAAGATAGGAAGTCTTTTATATATTGCAATGGGAACCAGAACAGATATAACATATACTGTTAACGTTCTTTCCCAATTCTGCGTTGATCCGACTGAAACCCATTAGCGTTTTGTTCATCATCTATTCCGATACCTCAAAGGAACAACCAAAAAAAAACTTATTTATAGAGCTACAGGATGTCCTTCTCTTAAAATGTATAGTGATGCTTCATATGCAAGTTGCCCAGATGATCGAAAATCATACAGTGGCCTTTTCGGAAATGCTGTAGTTTGCTGGTGTACGAAAAAACAAAATTCTGTTGCAGTCTCAACTACTGAATCTGAATATATGGCTTTATCAGCAGCTTGTAGACAAGAGATATGGATAACATACATAATTAAAGAATTACAAGAAAGTTTGAATGTATTACTATTGTGTGACAATCAAGCAAGTATTAAGTTGTCATAAAATCCCATCTTACACCAACGAAGTAAACATATTGACTACACTATCATTTTGTAAGAGAAAAAGTATTTCAGAAAATGATAGATATTGACTATATACCTTCCAAAGAAAATCTAGCAGACTTACTGACTAAGGCATTAGGAAAAATTCAGTTTGAATAGCAGCGCTCAAAATTTATGTTAAATACGAGGGAGAGTGTTGAGATCTACATTGCTTTATTTTATATAGTTCACTCATTTTTATATCATTATGACTTCGAAATTATTATTGTCACATTTGACGAATAAAGATTTTGCTAGTCATATCAAATTTTAATTTTCTTTGGATATTTCTATACAGGGTGTCCTTTAAAATGTGTCCCAAAATTCTCAGGCAGATTCCTTAACCAAAAAATGGAAAAAAAGTTCCTATAGACCTATGTCCTAAAGTGCCCCCTAAGCGAGCAACAGCCTCTCGAAATCATTTTTTTTATTTTGATTTTTTGAATTTTCTTAAAAATGGAAACAAATAAAAGAACCAAATTTTGGCTGTTAAATATGATCAATAATAGTGACCTTTTGACACCTTCAAAAAGAAATTATTTCGTCAGGGGTGTACTTGGGAATTTTTTGAAAATTTTGATTATTCATAACTTTTTTGTGTTTTTGGTAATGACTTATCCATATTTTTTTTACATTCTACATTGAAAACTACGTCAAAAAGGAATACTTGTTTGATCTCGATTGGAGCAGCCGTTTCCGAGAAAACATCATCCAAAGATATTCGTCCACTTTAGCTTAATTTTCAATTTTCCTAAATTACCTCGGTGAATCTCGTAAATAAAAATAACTTTTTTAGCTCTCTCTAAATAATTGTAGTTCAAATGTCGTGGTGGGACTATTTTTATTTAATAATAAGAAACGGTTTAAAAAAATATTTATTCTAAAAAAACAAATCAAAAAAAATTAAAGCAGATGCTCAATGTGGCGACCATTGGTTTCCACACACAAGCGCAACCGTCGCATCATAGACTGTCTTACACGAAAAAATACTTCAGGATTATTCCTAAGAACTTCGCAATGATGAAAAACTCGTTCTTCCAATTTTTCAACTGTTTCAACAGGACTGGAATAAACCAATGATT